ATCACTATAATTCTAGCTTTTTAATAGTAATAGGAATCTATAATAACAAATTCAACATGCCAGCATTGTTTAAGTATATGTATAGCCTACACATCCTTAAACAAGATAGAAGAAGACAAATTGTTATATACGAAGTAATCAAAAGAATTTATCGTTTTCAATCTAAATGTCTATAAAAAATGGAAGAAGTATTCGGAGCGTCTTCGCCAACAAACGATATTATAAAACATCCTACGAGAAACTATATTTCTAACATTATTTTACAAATCTATAATTTTTGCCAAATGATTTCACGAGGTATTCAATACGTATTGGGCACGTTTCCTGCTTTCTTGTCAGCGGATATTTAAATGTTAATTATAGTTCGTTAGCGAAAAGGAGAAGGCAGTAAAGAAAAAAACGATCGGGCATCGTAGCGAGCCACTTTTCCTACAATAATCAACCTCGTAGTAGTAGAGCTCGAAACCAGTCTTGTTCTTCTGTTAATCGTACCTCTGCTGATTGTGTATAATGAATTTACCTACTATAAATATCTGTGATTGAAGAAAATATAACAAAGCTAGTGTAAGTACGAATATATATATACATATATATATTACATATACCATTCACATAAATGTTGTTAAAAGTCGAATGGACTATAACCCGCGCGATTCGCGAACCGTGCATGGAACTCAAATAATTTTGCTGGCAAAATGAAAAAAGATTTAAGGGATCTGCTTACTCGCTTTCAAGCGCAAAGTGTATCACGAGTCAAGAATACGGTACCTGAATACAAAACCCCGTTTATGTTCTTAGTTTCGTTAGACGTCGCGAATTCTAGCAGACGACAATCTAAATATTCGTACGTCACCTTTTTTAACAGGAAAACAAGGGTACTTGTATAAATTAACAACGGTACATATCACTGTCACTATCAACGTTACGTCAGAATTCAAAAGTACTGGGAAGTATACTTATTACTGAACAACGTTAGGAAAGATCTTGTTTTTTTTTTCTCTCAGAGACGACGCATGTGTACACTGTCTTAATTCCAATCAAGTGATGTGCCAAAACTATTAAAACAGTTCGACTGTCTACGAGCGGTGGTGCGATCCTAGTGCGTGTCCACCCACGATACCGTATAACATGATAGAAGAATATTTTCTACTTGAACGTGCGTAGAAATTATGTTTATGCACCGGTTCCGTCAATTTCGTCGAAAGCTCTACTCGACATCGTTTTCTTTCATACACCGCCCCTGGACAATCGCAAATTGCAGTTTTTATTCCATTTACTGCGAAATGAACAATGCGCGGGTAATTTCGCGCACCAATTTGCACGCTATTCGCGATTCGTATTTGCTACACGTCTCGAAACAATCATATCAGCGTAAGTGTAGTAGGCATGCATATTTCGTTTATATTCCTCAGTACAGGCATTGTATGTTCATACAACTGTACCAACAGTACGATGATAGTCACTAGTTGAAATAAGATAAATCACTATTGTTGTTGATAAATCTATGTAATGATTAAATGTTACACATGCACGATCACGTGCTGAGGTTCAATGTTTCCTTTCAATCATCAATTTTTATGAAATCATCCTACTGCGTTACATTACAAAAAATATTCTCATGATTGAAGATTAGAATGATTCTTTAGATACGTACTGTACTTTACATGGACAATTATTGTAATTTCACTTAACTGATATTAAGTTTTAACATCTGTGCAATCTACGACATGACTATACCATTAAATTGAATTCCTGTATTAAAAATGATCTTTATTACCTTATTTAATAGATATAATTGATTAGAATTAATCTACAATTGTGTGTGTTAATTGATGACGTTTTGATCGAAGAATTTTGAATAAAATAGAGAACAGCTGAGTCAGAATAAAAATATCGTTGAACAGTTTTATTACTGACCATGAGAATTCGTGAGGGTCATATTATTCGATCCGAATTTCTGGTGGCCGGGTACCACGCGAAAGTTTCAGTAATCAAAACTTGCCACGGGTAGTAGCGCGACAGGAAAGTTAACGCAGCTTCCAAG